ACTCCTTTCTCCTCAAATGTTGCTTCCTACTTTTTTTCATCCCCTCCCACTATGCACAGCCTTGAATGCGCGTAGCACTAAACTTTGTATGCACCTACCTCCGGCGCCCGGGTTAATCACTCCTGTGTCCCCAGATGACACGCGACGCGCCTATTCGACATACGATTGTCAACGTGCAAACTCCCGGCGACGCAGAAAGATATGCTCATTCATGGCACTTCGAATTACCCGGGTTTGATAGAGCCGGGCATCTTCACGGCCTGGTTTTCCTTGTGTAAGAGCGTTCGCTAGCCCTTGTGAGCTCCTGCGAACGTCATCCAATACAGTCATGGCGTCACAGATCCGATTTAGAATGCCCACGGCGGACAGATGCCGGCACCTCACTATAGCAACACATTCTACTCCACATGTGTTGCGCAGACTTCTAGAATGCGACGCGAATGCACGTCGCGAATGGCCATCGCGTTTGGCTAACAGAGCGATCGGGGGCTATTCAGCCATCTGAGCTGGTTATGATTATCTGGAAGTATATTTTGCCATGGACTATTGAGTTAATCGGTCGCCAATGCTGGGTTATCATTTATTTTGATTTCCACATTCCAGACTCCTAGGAACGCGACGAACGTAATCTCAGCAGCATTCCACTGCGCATCTCGTCCAATATATTTTCGATCATGTCATTGGTCATCTGTGCGTCAGATTTGTTTTGATTTCAAGCCGAAGAATTCAACAGCCCGGGCTATAACTAGGAAACTGTCGTGTCTCACACAATGTCAAGATCATATTCCTTTCCTGTCACTCTTTCCAAGCCAGACGCTCCTTTGATTGGACCGCCTTGTACACAGTCTCTCATTTGGCTTCGTTTAAGTGGCTAGCAACCATGAAGGCCTTCATGTTTGGAGCACTGCTGGTGGGGAATCTAAACGCCCAAATATCGATCTCTACACCCGCTTTGGCTTCATTATCTGCTTCAGCAACCCCCGTTGCCGAGGCTCCGGTATTCCCCGACGAATAAACGGAAACAGAAGTATCGAATCCAGATGTCGAACCTGAAGCCGATCTTTTGGTGTCCGGCTCCGCCTCAGCAACGCCGGTTGCTGAAGCGGACCGTTTAGCGACTGATACGCCGGGATTCGACGTTTTGGCAACGCCCAGCGAGTCAAACGCATTACCTATAGCTTCGATCACTGGTCCGACGGCAATCGTCACTGCTGTGCCAGCTGACACGGTGGGAAAGGCTTCTTCGGATGATGCCGTCGCAGAATCCAGTGCGGAAGCCCTGCCCGGGTTCGACTTCTCCAGCACAAACTCTACTGCCGCGGTTGATGGTGTACCTCCTTTCGGCGCCGCCGACGCCTCGACTTCGTCCGACCTACCTACGGAGACTGGCGGTGCACCACTCTTGGTTGGCACCGATGATGTGACTACAAGCTGTGGTACAACCGGCGCTAGCAGGTACTACCGCACCTGCCGTGCTGGATATCGATTCGATGATGTGAGCCCCAAGGACTTCAGCATGCAGTTCAAGGTAGAGGGGCACCCGTATGTGTATGGACTTCAAGGAAGAGGATGTAACACGCTATGCAGCGACCTCAATTGCTCTGAGGTGCCGGTGAGGTAGCAATGTGCCTGATGGGGGCTGAGGAGGTGATGAGTGGCGCGTAATCGCGCTTGTAAGGTGGGTCTACTTTTCTTGATTATTGCGAGAACATGGTTACGCATTTGGTGTATAGGGATGTGATTTTGCTATGCTTTCTAATTGATATTTTCTTCAACCATTTTGTTCATTGATGATTCCCGTGCTTGCAAATCTTTCTTGCTTGAGTGAATGTGATAGATTTATCGCATGTTTTAGAAAGTATAGAAGTAGGGGCTAGGTTAGCTAACCAATTCTCTATGGAGACACAGCGAGAGTGATCTGGAATGGTGGATGTTTGGACGTACGAATCACATGTGAAAGTTATGCTTGGCGATGAAGGCACAGTCCAAAAGCAATATCGGGATTTTGGCTTTGGGTAAAGCTCGAAAACTGCAGTTTCTTATGACCAACGCTTTTTCATTCTTCTCCGTCCTTAGCGAACGCAAAATAGAGCGTGAAGGAGCGTAAAAGGAGCTTTAACATAGTTAGTCTTTCTTTGTTGAAAAGCAGGAAAGCGTAAATTATGCTACGGAGAACTTATCATTGACCACTCATGGTCGTACAGAGAGCGGTACTGGGACAAAAAACTCGTTTTCCCTTTCCCTTGCAGAGTCGTCAAGGCACAGTGAGATCCAAGTGCTGGATCCAGAGCCCATCTCGCCATTCGGTATTTCGGAGAGTGTAGCCTTCTCCTCGGAAGAACCTCATATAGGGCTCGATCATTGCCCCGAGTACTCCGATAGGACATCCAAAGTTACACTGAGCTACAATGTTCCCACTAACGTGAACTCCGATAACGGTTTTTCCATCGGGAAACAGGATAGGTGATCCGGACTGACCTGGTACTCGGGTTAGAACTTACATCTATAGCTTTCTCAGCACTGCAAGTGAACTTACCGCCACTTGTAGAGATCTTGTACTTCAAGAGCATCCCATCGCGTTGAAGATCCCATTGTACGTAGTCATAGGCTTCGTACATATCCCGCGCCCTTTCGCTCTTGTCAAGCGGATAGCCTACAATCGTGAGCCATTCCGATCCTCGTGGTGCAATGTCTTTCGGGATGAAAGGACGTAGTGGGAGAACCCAATCGCCTAGCTCATCAACCTGGGCCCTAGGTAAGAACCGTACAACCGCAATGTCGCCACTGCGGCCGACTCTGCCATCTATCCATCTCTGAGACGTAGCCACCAAATCCGCGCGCCTCCGCTCTCTCCAACAGCCGTTACCTTCGTGCCCGAAATAGGCAGTGATGGCGCGTACTGGGCCCTTGACTGCTCCGTAGTGTTCATAGACGTTGTGCCCCGCAGTGATCATAAAGTCCTCCGCGATCATGAAGCCTGTCCCGTGACCATATTCTTTAGTTCCTTGTCCATCCGTAAACACGCAAAGAAGACGCACAATCGCTGTTGCTGATGAGCTTACATCCTTTACACGTAAGTCACGAAAGGGTTCACTCACAATACTTCTGAGAGCCAGGCGTCCTGTCATGCCGGGACACCAGTCTTCTGTTATCGTTCCCGATCACTTTTTCGTTATCGCCTTCATCCTCCAAGCCTATTGCAGATATTAAGTCTGTATCCGTTTCAGTGAGAGTCCAGTAGACCGCCTGAGAGATTCCAAGGTATTCGCCATAATGGGGCTCGACCATTGCGAACCGGAAGAATCTGGGTAACGATGTTGAGGAACTATATGTCAGGGCGCAAGAGGCAAAGTGGGCAATAAAAAGGAAAAACCACTTCTATTTCAACCGGTGAGGTTGGGCAGCGATCGATCTTCTTATCTCAGCCTCGTCGGTGGTCGCACAAGCCGTGAGTGCAATTGACCTACCATTTTGTGCCACGCAGCGAAGGACGACCGAGGCGCTGCAAAGCACCTATCAATTGTCTACCAGGATTCCTTTTTGGCAGCCACGGCTGAGTTCTACGAGTCCTCCTCAATCAGTTGATTAGCTAGTCTTCTAGAGACTTGGCGTGTTAGTGCAAACCGACTTCGATACGGTGGCCAGGTTGGGCTTTGAAGCAATAGTGAGTTATTTATTGGTCAGCTCGAGACTTATTTGTCTCGTCTTCGATGAATATTGTTACAGGGAATGTAATGGAGGGAACCGCGGCCAAAGCGGCCCAGTCTTGGCCGAAGGAAGAGTAGAAGGGGCGCATTGTTGGGTCCTTGACGTCTTAGGGAAGAACCATGTCGGTTAGATAAAAGGCGTTCGAATGGGCTAGACCTTATGGTAGTTTGCTGGTGATGGACACATCAGATTGTCTTCTGTTCGCTGAAACATTGGGCATTTGTGTTCAAGCACTCGTGGTAGTGTGCGGTGCGTGTAACACTGCACGTCATGGAGTATCATAAGCCTTTTGAGATCATCTCGAGTTGAAAGTCTCAATTCAAAGACAAAGTTGAGAGGTGGAAGTTGGATGAAAGTGGGGTCAACCGCGGTCAACAGCGGTCGACACGATGCCAAGCTGGCTATCTCCTATCTCCGGTCCCCAGCCCTCCTGCCGCCATGTCCGAGTCTCCCTCTGAACTCTGTCCACATATTGTCTCTGGAATTAGATCTCTTATTTGATCCACTGCAGGCTTCGTAAGATGGAAGCTGGACTGAGTAGTCCCCGCCGCCGCTGTCTCGATTCTTCGACACGTTATACTTACGATCGAGGAGCAACTCGGCCTCGTCGTAACTCAACAAGCACACAGTAGAAAGACCATGCAAGTTTGGATTGTAGTCAAGAAGCAATAACGTTGCGGACTAGTCTTCTAGCAAACCCCGCGTGTACTAATACCCCCCGCTCGCTCACGTCCTCCGTTCTCGCGCTCCCGTCCCCAGATCCGACCGCGGTTCATATAATGCATTGCTCCAACGACCCCAAATACTTCAGTTGGTTGGAGGCGGAATGTGGATGGTCCAAATGACGAACATGGGTACAAGATGCGTACGCAGATATGCTCTCGCGCCGGATAGGCTGTTTAAGCAACGATGGTGGAAAAAAGGCGCCGAGGTAAGAATCATTCGTATCGAGGTAACAGACAGCAGCCACACATTGACCGGCAGGAACATTTCAATGTGGGTACCAACAAAAAGCAGAGCTTTTCTTGCTTCCACACACTTTCGTCCGTCTGAATTGCATTCAGATGACCCTTTTTGCATACAGCTCAACATCAACCGTGCGAAATCCCTTTCGGCAGAGAGCGCAAAGTATTAAAGGATTGTTTGTACACGACCAAAAATAATCCGAGGTATTGTCACCATGCTCGGCCCGCTCGAAACGTGTCACCGATGGCTCGCCTCCACTCTCGCCTCCACCGCACCCCGACCCAAGATACAAAAAAAGGACAAAATGGCAAAAAGAAAGTAATAGTAGCCCGACGTGGGGGTCGAACCCACAACCTTGAGATAACGGAATTTAGGGGTACACCGTCCTCAGAACGTGAATACTAAGAGTCTCACGCTCTACCGATTGAGCTAGCCGGGCTAATTGTTTGATTGTGAGAAATCTCGAGATTAACAAAATAATATAGAACGCCAGGTTACGCAGGACATGGAATTCGACCGTGATGATAGGTAATGTGGATTTCTTTGGGCATTTTTCCAATTTGTGGAGACAGGGGTCCTGGTTTGTGCACGACCAGGCTAGTCCGCGAAAATTTTCTTAAGATTTGCCTCGCCATACCTGGACCAACTTTAATAACCCGACGACTCCAACAGCAAAGCATCCATTTCTGCTCTATGGCCGACCGAACCAGTCCACAAAGTTCTTCGCGTCGAAGGCAATCGCAACGCGCAATTCGTCCAAGAGGACCTTCAACTGAGGCCTGCTCCTTTGTCCAGAGCCCCGTGCCGGCTTGACTGCTCATTCAGAGATACACCTTCCATCCAATCTCATAGTGTCTTTTCGCTACTGTTGCGATCGCCACCGTTCGGACCTGATTCTTGCGCTAATGCACCCTCTGGCATCCCACACGGCTTCGTCTCGCTAGTATTCGCAGGGCTATGCTTAGCCTCTCTCGCGCAGTTTTCGAGTGCATCCATAGAATGGCGAGCACGCCATCATACGCTCTCCTTCATCTCTTATTATCTCTCCACTGTATGCCCGCGCTCTTCTTCCAATTTTTCCAACCATTTCCATAGCGTCTCCGCAAACTCTTCCGATACCACTATATCAGAGGATGCAACTCCCAAGACCGAGGCCTCGGATCGTTGGCGTCCCTCTGCTTCCAGCTCTGCTACAAGAGCCTTTTGTTTTTCGTACCGTTCTGTGTACCACTCATTTCGCAACTGTCTCAAGCGTGGCGGGTGGAACGATTGGTGTCCTTGTTTCTCCTCCTGCTCGCAGCGCCATTCCAGATATCGGCGTTGTTTGTTGCGGTAGTGCTGCGCCATTTGAGCGAATTGAGAAGCTGAGAAGCAAAAGGTAGAGCTGGCTGGATTTCCATCATCTCGTTTTGCGAGCATGTGAGGCGGCATGGCGAGGTGTCCAATATAGCAGCGAACGATTCAATGAGGGACCTCAGACATGGCTCATCAAAGCGATGTACGAGCGAACTAGGCGATGGCAGCAACGCGAAACGGCATCTTATTATTCTCTTAGCCCGTCGGTGGGATTCCGCCCGATACTTCGTACGAGATTACGCCCTCATCGCTGAACAGGTTCCGGCCCGTGATAGGGGATCCGGAGCGCACGTCACGCCTCCACCTTCCCTCCGACTGATGACGAATATGTACGGACCGGCTCCATATGCCATCATGACATAACATCCGAGATTGCACCCTGCCGGCTAGCGCCTGATTACCCTTTCCATCGCTTCGCATCAATCAACAACCTTACAGAAAATTCGGCGGTGTACTCGGTGTACTCGGTGTAGGGCTCGAAACGCCTTCGCGCGTAAGCGCTCGTTGAGCCCCCGTATTCCTATCCACGCGGAAAACTTCCCAATGCGGAATTCAGCTCGTTGAACGGCACAGGACGCAAAACGTAAACAGATCCCAGCACTGGGGGCCTATCCCCTTAAGATATGGCAGTTTAAGAACCTCCTGTTGGTGTAGACCGATGATGCGGTCCAGGGATCACTCCTCGCAAGATTTCCCAATCCGGCATCACCTTCGCTTAGAGGCGCACAAGGTCGGCACTACAACGATTCCAATGAAAGGCTCCAGCAGAATGAACTGTAGGCGCTTCGGCTGAGTTGTAGGTCAGTAGGATGCGTTTAGATAACAGGCCGATCAATCCCGAAGACTTTCAACACTTGTTCCAATGTTCTAGGTATCACCTACCCCGATAGTCCTCAGCGGTGATAAACTAAACTTCTAAAGCTTCACGGCCAACAAACCATGTGAAGATATTTGCGGTTCATTCCACGTACAGGGTTATACTTCGCTTATTTACTCTTTCCGGTAGCGGGAAGTGGGGGGTTTCGTCACCTTAACCAACCGGAAAACTAACTTCATTCGCGAGAGATGTGCTCGGCTTGTATCTTGTTCCACCAGGCTAATTAACTCCCCAACCGAATACGATGCCCGACAGGACATACCGCTGGCGGTGGAAAGCGGGGTGGGTATACTTTCATATCCCCCACTTTTACGCAAATGAAAAACCCTCCGCGGAGCTTTCTCTCTTCCAACCAACTCGATAAATAGTAAGAAATCCCAACCCGCTCCTACAACTCCAGACAGTCACACCGGTCTAAATTCCTTGTCATTATGTTTTCGCAGCACAAGTGAGACCACAGGATGCACCAATTCACTACCACAGTAGACCCTGGCGTGATTTTTTACCTATGGTAGTAGCGAGAGGCCGCTCTGTGAGCAAAAGTAGTATGCAAGCTTGTCCACTGCCCACCACCCTTCTTAAAAATCTTTTCATCCTTTAACCAGGATGCGTATATACGCCCTTATCCCATGAAAAACTGATGGTGCGGCCGAAGGCTTTGATAGACCACATCTAGCACCCCAGCAACCACAGCAGCTGGCTTCCATAGTGGCCAGCGCCCCACCACATACATCGATGCACGCAGTACAATGTATGATTACCCACAAGCGTCATGCCATTGTCTGCAAAGTAAACAATCAATTTTTTGCATCAATACCCGTAGACGTACTTGCTACTATTCGTGAAACACACAACTTCGCAAAGCGCCAATGCCGCCAGCAACTACAGCAGTATTAGATCAATCGCTGCCTCACGCAGTTGCAACAAACACTCTCCTCCTTCCGCGTCAAAGGGGTCGAAAGCCCCCCTAGACCGAACATTCATTGTACGGTAGCGTGTGCTTACTCAAGTAAGGCTCAATGATAGATTCGGTGTGCTGACTCCTGCTGACGTCAGACGATAAGTCCGTAGTATACTGAGGGAGAACGATTCGAGTATTGAATTGATGGTACGATGCGCTCCTTCTCAGAGCAGGTGATCCGACTTCCTATAGAATAGCCCTTGAATGTGTCCATTGATTGATACCATTGGTGGTACTAGATGAATATCCGTAGAGAGGAACGGTCTTCAAGTACAGGGGTGAGTAGGCATTCTTGCTCGAAGTCGCTATCTGACAACAGACCTTCCCCGGAACCAGGATTTTCACCCCACTCTAGCAATCGTCGTAATATATAGTAAAAATTGACAGGTAATACTCTCAGCTAGAACACAAGTCGCTACGATGCTTCGATTCTACCACTACGAACTCTTGGCCGTTCCAGTTTCGAAACTGACGAGTCGGCCCGCCGTCGATGACCAACTTAGGTCATGCGCCATACCAAGATCAAAGTCGTATCGCAAAGCCCATCGCAAGTGAGAACAAGATAACCGGTCCGATTTCAGTAGCCAAGTGCAAATTCAAGGAGGCGAATCGCGGAAGTATCGGATGATGATACAGCGACGGCCGCTCTTACGTAATATGAGCCAACCAAAAGCGAATGCGCTAAAAGAATGCATTGGACAAATGGTAGAAACGGACCGATCCGGAAAAACACAAAAAGTAGCGGTGTGAGACGCGAGGAGTGGTGGAAATAAATTTGATTCGAAGGAATAACGTGACGAATCCGGCCAGTCGCAGCGGTTTGAGTCAGCGATAGTGGTGGACACAAGGATGGCGAACGTCATCGCCTATGAATCCGTCTCGCTTGCCTTTTCCCCTTCTTTTGAGATAGCCAAGGCATCCCACCGCGAGATGATCGCATCCATCCTCGCGTTAACATCCGTTGCCGTTTTTCGAATGTCCGCAATGTATTGGCTACTAACCACATTTGCTGCATTCTTCGTCCATTCCTTGCTCTGATAATAATTCAGTCGGCTGACAATGTCCGCTGGCAATGGTATTTGTAGTGTTTGGCAAGTCTGCGTGAGGAGGCGGAAGAGTGGTTGTGCGTAGAAGACGTAGCTCGACAGGGTAATCATCGCTTGTAGACAAGTAAGAAGGCCTTGGTATGCTTCGCTGGGCTCTCGTAAGAGTTGTGATTGATCTTGGAGAGCGACCTCCTCGAGAGAACCGTAGCTTGTGACCACTATTGGATGCAGAACGAATGGTATTGCGCTTGCCCAGCCGTGTCTTCTATCGTGAAGAATGATAAGCTTACGTAGCTCTTTGATCGCCGTGGATGTCAATGACCGCGCGTGGTCTCGATAGGATGCTAATCGCTCGACAGAGCTTGCATTACTAATAAAGGGTTGAAACAATCGAACAACGGACACATGGTGTTGCATACTACTCAGTTTGAGCGAGACGTACTTCTAGCACAGCTGAGAGACTTACGCTATAAGGAAATTCTCTGGCGAAGGGAAAATTTCGGGAAGGAGACCATGTGGCCGCGTGTCATACCAGGCCTTTAGTCTAAGGTAAAGCACTTCAATCTGTTCTGGCTTTGGAGAGAGGTTGGTGGTGGGTTCGTATGGTTCCAGTAGAGCCTTCGAACAGTCTAGGATTATGACATTGCGAGCGCATTCGGAACGAAATAGAGCTACAAATGTTATTGCAAGGATGAGGGCAAGTAGAGCGATAATTTCTCACCTTCTTTAGCGGGGGTATCGTCGTATGGGACGGCAACAGGGGGTTGAGATTGGAGTATTGGTGGAAAGGAGTAGGTGAAGGACATGGTACTAGTTTGGTGAGCCGCATAACGGAAGCATTGATCCCTCCTCGGACTCACGATTGAAAATTGAATAATGCCCAGGCACTCACGGCTCGAGCCTTTTCCCACTTCTCTCGGCACACGTGAGGCGGCTTTTGTGAAGCAGACGGCGCGAGACGGAACAGTCCCAAACTGCGAGCGATTCGGCAAGCTTCCAGCAAGAAAGTATGCCCGACCTTGTCGCGACCGTGTTTACCCAGTACCATGAATAGACACAAAGCGGCTTGGAGTCGAGGAAGGCTGTCTTGACCTTCTTCCAATTCCCATAATCGCCGGGCTTCTCTATAGAAACGAGTCATGGCATTTTCGCTGAAAGGTTTCGACCGATCCTTGACGAGCGGTGACTGGAACTAGGGA